ATGTTCCTTGCGCCCAATGTATTGAATCAAATGGATTTGACAAGGGGTGGATCAAAATTCAAAAGTCAACACGGATGGCTCAGCAGTCTCTAATACGGCGTACTCGGTCGGGAGCAGGACGAGTTTTCCGAAATGGTAATGGACTATGGCTCACGGGTTTCGCCCACAAATTGGGGATTGGAACAAATAACTGGGCTAAGCTGTGGGCCGTAAAAAGAAGCCTTGAAATTAGGGATGAGAATTTTTTAGTATAGCTCAAGTTATATTTAATATTTGATGTAAAAATTTTAGGATATAGTTTTTTAATTTGGCATCTACTCAAATATTCAAAAATTTATACTTGGTATTTAGTCCAATAGGTACTAAGTTATTTGTAGGTATGTACTTATGTATTTGACTTAGGGGAAAAAATCATTTAATATAAGATATTATTATGTGTGTTATGTATATGGTTTAAAGTTAATTACTTATATGAGTTGTTATTATTATGTGTGTAATTTGTTTGGCTTATGAACTTAATTTTTATTTCTATTTTTTATATGTTTTTATTATTTTTAAAAATTATTATTGTATAGATATTAAGTATAATAATTACATGTAAAATTTTAATTATACAACTATAGATAATAGGTAAATTAAATAATTCAATTAAACAATTTTTTTTATGTTAGTTGCATAACGAGAGACAATTCTCTTCTATCCTTCATCCTAGCCCACTCGCATGATATACGACTCAAACTCAAGATCTCTTACTTTTAACGGACATATATTATTACCACTGAATTATTTAAGTCGTTAATTTAATTAAACAATTTTGAATCTATATATTTGTTACTTGATTTGATATTTATGAATATGTTGTTTTTTTTATCCGTTACTTATTTTTTCTACCATTCGGATACAAAACTTATCCAAATAAGTAAAATATTTATAAATAATGAATGATACATCCCCAATACTCAATTTTACTTGAAATTGTAGTTGACGAGGGATTTAGGAAACTCATCATTGAAACAAATTAAGAGTGCCTTTGATGCAGCTTCTCACGTGATTCAATTTTTTTGACACTATTTATGTTTCATAAATTTAAATTTTTCTCCTAAAAACTTATATTTTTAAATATTTTTTTAACCTTAAAACGATTTTAAACAGTAAAAGATCAAAAGTTTCAAATTTAAATTTTTCATAAATTTTCTTTTACTCATTTTTTCCTATCTTTAAAAGTAATTTTTAAATTTTTCTTCCAATAAAAATTTAAACTTATCACTCATAAATAGAACACAAAAAGTAAAAGTTCCAACAAACTACACCAAACATGCCCTAATTCAACGTTTGTTGTGCATGCACTTAAACAAACTAATGTTTCCAGTTTTCATGTACCAATTGTTAATTCCTGCAGATTGTTGATCCCTCCACTTGACGAGGTTCAAGTGACTCATGTCAACCGAGAAGGCCGGAAATATGGTGGCCGACGCTCTTGCAAAATAGTTTATATTAGGAATTACATTAGTTGGATGGCATGTTTTGTAATTTGAAATTATTTATCTTTTGTTTTTTCTTTTATTTTTTCTTATACCATCTAAGAAATATTGATGGGACCAGGTGAGAGGTGACATGGAGAG